TGTGTGTGTGTGTGTGTGTGTGTGTGTGTGTGTGTGTGTGTGTGTGTGTGTGTGTGTGTGTGTGTGTGTGATTTCACACACAAAATACAGTATGTGTCGAGTCGGTATAAGACGTTTAATCAATCCTAAATACGTATCAATTAACGCATTGCCTTGAGTAGAACGTGCGATGCATATTACCAGGAGTAGATAATAGGGACCCCTATTATCTACTCCTGATATTACTAATATAGTCATAGAAATAATATACTAGTTAGACCTATTAGTGTCACTACGTATTTCTATGATTTCATCCATAGACTAAGAATAACCTATTCTTAGTCTATGTTTTAACACAGCATCGTACTTCGGGAGGCATTTTTAGCAGTTATTTACACGTTTGCTAGTCAAATATGCTCTTCTATCTTCTTGAGCCTCTGAGTGCAAATTAGCTTCAATTTCAGCAAAATACGCAGTGCAAACAGGGCGTGCTTTTTGGTGGATGAGAACCGAATGAACGTGGCTAAAGCTGGTAATAGCAGACGGACGTTTGTAACCACGCAGCGGTTTGCTATCGAGCCTCTCGCTCCACATTTTGGGCGTAACGCAAAGTGAATAAATGAATTGCGGAATCTTAAATAAGGCTCGTGCACGCATCAGATGTCTCAGCTAGAACTATAGCTCACACAGCCACGTAGTTACAATCACCTCACGTATAGTCCAGCCCTATAGTCTAGGTGGACTAACTACAGTATGTCAGGAGTGAATTGCGAAAATCAAGTATGCGTGGAACACATCCATAGCCAAAAAGTGAAAGTGCAATCGCGACCAAAAAATATAAACCCGTAATTAATGCGAAGACTTTTATTCTCTTTCCTCGCTTGATCAGATAGCCTGTTCTAGAGCTGGATCGCAGCAAGATACTCAGCGAGGCGTCGTGCAAATCAACCCCCCTCCTCCAACATTCGCTAAATCCTCGCATCTCTACTCACGTTGCAGTCACGCAGCAAGACAAGGGCGACGAAGTACTACGAGTCAAGTCAAAGGAGAATGCCAGGCTGTTGAGATCCCGTTCTGTGCCGATCTCTACAGTTCGGCGTTCTTCCCGAATGTTCCACTGATGAACCACACGACGCAGGCCGAGGCGCAGGCGAACGCGTACACTTACTATACGCTGATTGAGTTAGAATGTCACAGAGGTGCGTCTATCCATTGATCTATCTATTAGTATTGATGCATGTTATATAAGGAAGTATTTGATTTTAATAGCGATATATACAAATCTTGATACAAATCGATTGCATAAGGGGATAGATTGATTGAGAGATGGATGAATGGAGGGATGGATGGATGGATGGATGGATGGATGGATGGATGGATGGATGGATGGATGGATGGATGGATGGATGGATGGATGAATGAATGGATGGATGGATGAATAAATGAATGGATGGATAGATAGATTGATTGATTGATGGATGGATGGATGGATGGATGGATGGATGGATGGATGGATGGATGGATGAATGGATGGATGGATGGATGGATGGATGGATGGATGGATGAATAAATGGATGGATGGATGGATGGATGAATGAATGGATGGATGGATGGATGGATGGATGGATGGATGAATGGATAGATGGATGGATGGAGGAATGAATGGGTGAATGGAGGGATGAATGGGTGGATGGAGGGATGAATGGGTAGATTGATAGATAGATAAATTGATAAATAGATTCGATTTATAATACATCCACTCTAACAGCACACTAATATATACACATCTTGCCATATTGAACGTCCCGAATATCGTGACCGTACGTCGAGCGGTTAAGATTTGTGCCCAACTGTTGACGCACGGACGGACGGCCGGACGGACGCACGAACAATCATGCGATTCTACAAGCTGCATCTGACTACGTCAGATGAGCTAAACATTGCAAAGTTAAATTCTCAATTCAACTTTTTAATGTATTTACAGAAACACAGTTTAGCTGGGACATACCTCCTATAATCAAACATTATGCGCCTTTTAAATAGTGAGCGAAAAATACTCTGCATTCTTGATTCGAACAGCCAAGGTGTCGGCCAATACGTCTCCAAGATAGCTGGACAATGCTCCAACATAAAGCGGTGCAGAACTCCATCTTTATAAACTATCTTTGGCTTCTGAAAAGATAGGACAATTAACAGTTAAACTGATCAGTAACAATTGTCTACATTAAAAAAAAGACTGAAATCTCACTTAGAAATATGTAGAGTCTACATAACAGTAAGAAACATAGACACAGATTCTAGAAAATGTGAAGGAGATGAAGTGAGCAGAAGGATGGCAAAAGAATGTTGATGCCATTGCCAATGTGTGCAATTATTTGCAATCCTATACTGGGTGATGGTACTGACCAGTGAAAAAAATACACGGGGGCGGCGGGCAAAATCGCCCCCGAAGTTCCAAAAAGAGCTCCCGAAAATGTTATTACGGGGGCAACAGTTAAAAAGAAAACTGTTTGAAATCACCCCAAAATTGCACGCCTCGAAGTCAAGGCATTATCATTGGTTACACCAGCCGCAGCTGCAAAAACTGCTGCAAAACCCGCAATGCCTGTCTCGGCTATGCAGTTGCAATATCGATTGTGTACGCTTGACCTGCCAGCCAACCGTTCGCGATCACAATCGCATCATTCCCGCATATATGCATGCACACGCAGTGTTTCCCCTGCATTGACGCGAGCTAGGCGGCCGCCTCGCTCAAATTCTCAGCCGCCACGCAGAAATTTATCCAAAACACCCGTCGGCATGATGACGACAGAAAACTGTGCATAGGTATATTTACCCTAGTTTTTCACTCTACCAGCCCTGCTAGTGCTACTTCTGCTCATAGGGTCTATGTCACCCAGGGTACTGCCGGAACGTACCCTGGTAACTATTTGATATGGTTAGGGTTAGGGTTAAGGTTATGAATAGGATTAGGATTAGGGTTAGGGAGTAGGCGTAGGCGACTCTTTAGACTCGTTAGTGGAGTAGGCGAGGTACGGTCCGGCATATTAGATAGTACCACTACCAGGGTACATTCCGGTATACCGGACCGTACCCAGGGTACGTTCCGGCAGTACCCTGGGGGACATAGACCCTCTCAGCTCTACTTCTGCAAGAAATTAGTACATCAGAGACTGAGAGAGCAGAAACTGACGTAGATAGATTCAGGAGCTAATAATCACAAATTTGCCATAGTTAGCTCCCGGTTGTATGCATGTTGTAACCACTGGCAGCAAGAACAAGCCCGCACGTACAACACACACGCGGCCATTGACTATATACAACTACGGAAACTGCGGCGGCGAGTTAGACACCATGTTGTATTATATAGTTAATGGCCGCGTGTGTGTTGTACGTGCGGGCTCGTTCTTGCTGCCAGTGGTTGTAACACAATAACCATAACAGTAGAGAAAGCATTACGATCGGATAGAGCTAATTAAGACACACATTTTGATCGGTACATCATGCCCGCGATAGACATAGACTTGTCACTTATTAATATTAGGCCTATAGTATACTATTTATCAGGAATGAATAATACTAATACTAGTAATAGTACTAATAGTAATACTAATACAGTAATAGAGATTCTCTAGGTAGAGATAAGTATTATTCACTCCTGTACTGTACTGTAAGATACACGCACTCAGTGTAGGCTGTATTTATTATATTTCATACCTTCCCGACAT